ACACCCTTGATCGGAAGACAAAAGAAGCCTCAACATCCTCTTTTGAGTGGACTAAACAACAGATGGCTACTAGCTTCCAGTACTATTAGAAGGAAGGAAATAACACCGAGGCATTATTTGTAGCCTCCCAAGAATCCCCGCTTTGCAGGCAGAAGCCCAGAAAAAAAGAAAATGACCCAGAAGCCCAGTCCTTGGGCTGAAAATGAAGACCCCCCCACCATTCTTTTCCTCCGCTTCCCAGCACTTCTGTGGGGCCTGATACTGCCGCATAAATGTGTCCTTAAGCCTCCCACTCCGCTTCCTTCTCCCGGTGGGTCACATGCCGCAAGCAACATAAGCGACTTTGGGGCTGTGGGTGCAGTTCAGTGGTAGGGCACTTGCCTTGCCTGGGCAGCCCTGCTTTCAATCCCCAGAATAGAAAAATAGTAACATTTAGTTAAAATTTCAAAAGCAAGTGTGTTTTTTCCCCACATCAGCTATGCAGAGAGGACGTCTCTTAGGATCAAGGGCTATGCCTTCCTCAGGGCCAACCCAGTGGCTGGCACTCATGTATATACTGATAGTGAGCAGTATCTTCTGAGGAGTGAACCAAGCTGCTTACTGGGTGAGGGGCTCAGAGGGCACAGAAAGCAAGATGGCAGCTAAAAAATAGATATTTACTGAGCACTTACTATAGCCCTCTAAACTGCAACAATACTACTTGGAGGTTGGTCTTAAGGTGGGGCCCATTTTATGGAGGAGAAAACTGAGACACAAGAAGGTGAACAACTTGCTTCAAGGAAGCAAGCAAGAAAGTGGCAGAGCTGGAGTGGCTGCAGGTAGAGCCTGCGGGGAAAAATATAGTAATAGATATAAAAAATGAAGGCAGGGCCTTTTTAGTCATGGAACTTTCCATGAACTGGGAAGATGAGACCTGGACCTCCAAGATGGAAAGAAGGAAGAAAATCGTCACCTCCATATTCATTCTCTAAATATATTTGACTGAATGGATGCTATATGCAGGTGGCTGCAGTCTTTGGTCCAGGACTCCAGTTATCTGCCTCTTCTAGAATGGGAGGCACTGGACAAGTCTTCGTCCCTCAAAAGCCCCCAAAGCTCCTGGCTGGTTCTCTCCTCTCCAACACTCAGGAGAAGAGAACAGAAGGGTAGTGAGAAGCAAACTTAGGGACCAATAGAGGACAGACACTCTGGGGCAAGCAGGAATAGAAGTGTTAGCATTCAGCCCTCCAGAGGCAGAGCAGGGAGCAGGGGTAAGAAAAAGGGAGAGAAGGCAGCCCGCGTCAGGGGTCTCTGAGCACCAGGCTGACTCGAGCACTTGACAGGCCCTCAAGATGGGAACTGGCCTGGAAGGAAAATTTGTCCCTCAACACCCACAAGGAACTGTTTCACTCCAGCAAATACCTCCTGACAGCTCTTATCAAGAGCTGCTGCTGCCTGCCTGGGTCCCCTCTGCCCCCACTGCCATCCTGGGACTGCTGCAGTGGACAGCTATCTGAGGGAAGCAGAAGAAACTCAAGAGAGTATATTTAGTACAGTTTAAACAGCATGTCCCCAGAGCCGATGTCAGGGGGCCGAGGGGATGACTCAACTCGGGGGAAGTAGCTTGTTCATCCAGGAAACTCTGGGGAATGGCCAAGCCAGGAACCTGCCTAGGTGTCCAAGTTTCTTACCAGTGGGGAAAGGAGACAAGATTGAATACAGATCACCAGCGGCTAATGAAGCACCACTAGTGCCTCACACCCACCAGCGTGTCCGTTGGGGATCAAAGTGGATACAGACTTGGTCTGCCCCTGTACAAATGACACCCTCACCTTGCCCTCTGTGCCTGCAGGCCGGGCCCAGCCTCATCTTCCTAAGCCCCTGGCCCAGCCAGTAAGGGAAAATTTCCCCGGCTGCCAAGATACTCCATTGCAGGGCTGTTCAAACAAAGACGTTAAATTGCTATGTAGACTGTCATCTTAAAAACAAAACTTAAGACCAGCAATAAATCTGAAACTGTTCCCAAGGGCTTAATGGAATAATGTGTAACAGGCCTGGGTGGCCCAGCTGGCAGGGTGAGGGCTCCTCTGACATTAGCAGCCCTCAGTCCCATTGTGGGCCACAGAGTAGCTTTGGAATTGCTTTTTCAGGTGGGTACATCTCAATTGCCATCAAACAATGCAAACTATGTGGGGGATGGGGCAAGTGGACTAACTGCCTTGAGGGAGCCCCACATTTCAGTGACATAAAAATCAACTGGTTAAAAATGAACATTGGGTATGGTAGCATACACCTGCAATCCTAACCTTCAGAAGGCTGAGGCAGGAGGATTGCCTCAAGTTAGAAGGCAGCCAGGGTTATATAGCAAGTTCAAGGCCAGCCTGAAATACATGGTGAGATCCGTCTCAAATGAAAGGCAGTCACCCCAATTGGAGTGAAGTGGTGGGTCTAGGGCAGGCCTGGGAAATTAGCTTTTATCAAACCCCTTTCAGCTCCACCTCATTGGTGGTACACACTTTGAGAAACGTCAGGAGACTAAGAACCTGAGTTAAAACCCTGGAAGTGGAAGTTAGGAACTCAAAATCATCATCTCTAATGAAATTTTGCTGAAAAGCAAAAATAAAAAATAAAAAAATCTAACATAGCAGGTACTTGGGGAGGCAGCAGTATAGGTCTGGGGGCAAATCAGGAGCCTCCGAGGGTGGGTTCAGCTTTTGTGTGACCTGAAGCTTATATAATGTAGACAACTTCCATAAGAAAAATAGCCCAGCTAAGAAGATGGCTTGAAGGTAAAGTGCTTGTCTAGCATGTGCAAGGCTCTAAGTTCCATCCACAGTACCACAGAAAATTAAATTAAAATTACCCCAGCCCCCAATCAGTATAGGGTCCTGAGGTCATGGCTGGCTCCCCCCACCCCTGTCTACGGGCCCTCATTTCTCCTTCCCACATGGCTCCTTCTGCTGCTGGGTGATAGTGATGAAACTGGCAGGAGGCTGTGTCTTTTCCCAGGAGGGAGACAGACTTTAAGCCTAAAATGTCCATAGTTTAGGCATCGAGGACTCAACCCATGATGTTGTCCTGTATCAATATGTTGACACATTCCCTTCCACCAGGCTTAAGATCTGTTGCTCTGAAACAGGTACACGCCACAGGTGTTCCTAACTCTGCCCTTGGTCTTTTTGGTGTACAACCTGGTCACATGTAAAATCACCTCAAATCATATAACTCCTGTGATCCAATGGTTCTTTCTGGAAGTTTTCCAATCAAATACGACCCACAGCAATGAGCAAGCTGTGTATGAATATCCTTCCACTTACGATAGGAAAAGACATAAAAGGTAAATGTTAATAACCCTTCCACATTTATTATATGCCACACACCATAAATGGGCTTCCCACATTTTAGAGTAGTTAAGCCCCCAAATCTATGAAATCCACTTTACAGATGAAGAAACTGACACAGCTATCAATCCTTGATTTGTAGCTTTTGCTGATTTCCATTATGTAAAAAGCCCACCATAGCTCATTTCAAATTACCTATGGTTTAGCAACCACATGGCTTAGTTCCCAGATTTCCAGAATATTTAGCAGTTCGCTCTTGTAAGCCAATTTGAGCCAGCCCAGGCTCCTCACTGGAACTGCAAAAGACAGGTCTAGAAACTCACCCAGTGTTGCAGAACCAGGGTATCAACCAAGAGTCTAACTCCAGAGTTCAGGCTCCAATTACCACTCCAAAGACCTGTGTGGACACTAGTGAATGGCTACCAATAACACAAGAGAACCCCGTGAGCCCCTTAACACGCAACAGGGACAGGTTTTCATGAGGATTACCTGAGTGCTTAACATTTGCTGGACAATGTAAGATCACTACAATAAGCTTATGTGAAGTTCCACTTTGAGTTACAAGATGCAACAATTTGCCTCATTTGATGGGTAGAGGTTAGACAGAAGTTAGACTCAAATTGGATGATGAAGAGAGGGGGAGCTATGATTATTCCCATTTTGCAGATCCTTATTTGGCATAAAGAAGGTGCACAGCTGATCAGCGGTGGCGACCCAGACAGCCTGGTTGCAATTTCTTAACCACACAGAATGGTGGGTGAAAAGAGGAAATCAATCAACACGTAGTGACTCTCAGCACTATGCAGAAGTGAATCTTCAAGTGGGCGATGCAGGAAAGCCCGTGACCCCTGAACGTGAGAATCAGAAAAGCTGGGTCTGATTCCCCCACACCTACAGTGTAATGTGGGGCAACCTGCCTAAAGCTCCTGGCTTCAGTTCTCCCCTCACCAGGCTATTCTAAGGGTGGATGGTGAATGCAGCCCTTGTCCTGTTACTGTGAACAAGAATAACGGGATCAGAATCAAGCATTCCTTATCCACCATGGTTCTTTGTCATTGAAGTTGCCCCCAACGTGGTTCAAGCTGGTCCAGAGTGACTCCTTTGCCATGCAGAGCTTCGCTGGCAAGAGCTACAGATATGTCCCCAGTCCCAGTGCTCAGCCACCTACCCAGCCCCCTTTCCCCTCCACGGTGCAGAGCCGAGGCCCCGCCGCGGGGCCGGCTGACATGGGGATGCCCTGGTCCAGCCGTGCCCGCTGGGACACGCGCGTCTCCTTCCCACAGCCGCCCGCAGCGGGGGCAGAGACTTCTGCGGAGGAAGAAACCCCCCCCCCAAAGCGTCCTGCTTTCGGCCTCTGGACCCCACTCTACCTCTAAAGTTTGGGGGCGTTTTGGATCTCCTTTTCCTCCCAGACCATCACTAAAAAGAAAACTGTTGTTGTTCCCTTTTCAGCCAAACTTCCTCCCCGGAGTGTGTCTGAAAGCTCTGCGTTCCTGCCGCAGGCAGCGGGGACCGCGGGGCGCGAAACGCCGCGGGGAGAAGTGGCCGGGCGGCCTGGGCTCCCGTCGGGGCGGCGTGCCGAGCCGCGCCCGCGCCCGCCCCAGCACGGAGGAAAGATGCCCAGCGAGCAGCGCCGGCCGGGCGGCTCCCACGTCCCTCCAGAGCCCGGGAGCCGCTTACCTGACGGCGGCCGCTTCCTGCTCAGCCGGCTCACTGCGCGGTTAAACATCGCCGCGGGCACCCAGGGGAGGAAAGAGGCGCAGCCGGGCGGCGCGGCGGCTGAGCCGGAGGAAGGAGAGGAGGACGCGGAGGAGGAGGAGGAGGAGGAGGAGAAGCGGGAGGAGGAGTCCGCTCAGCGCCGCCCCAGCGCGCCGGCCCTGCCCGCCGCCCTCCTCTCCGCGAGGCGCCGCGTGGCGCGCTCCGTGCGCCCTCCCCGCCCGCCCGGCAGGGGCTCGGGGTCTGGCTGGGGCGGGGCGGGCGGCCCCAGGTGACCCCTCCGGGCGAGCGCTGGGGTGGGGAGCGCGCGGCCGGCGGAGCCGGGATGCTGCCAGGGTCCACGTCCTGCGTCCGCCTGCTCACCCGCCCTCTCCCGGGCACAGACAGGAGAACCTGGCTCGGCGCCACGGGCCCACCGCGCTGGGCGGCTGCGGCAGGCCGAGGGCACCTCCGGGTCGCAGCGAACCCGAGGCCTCACGCGCCTGCGAGGTCCTCGGCGGCGCGGCCAGTGCCTTTGCCTCGCTAGCCCGGGAACCCACGCGCCCGCGCACCGGGACCTGCCCGCCCCCGGACTCCGTGGGCGCTGGGCCTTCCCACGCCACGGGCGCGGGTGGAGCGACTCGGGGCCCGCGCCGCGCGACCGCGAGGACCGAACGGAGCCACCGCGGGTGGGCGCCCTTCCCCGGGCCGCGGCCCCGCGGAACTCAGGCGTCTGCTGCTCCTAGCTTGAGGATTCAGGGCGGACCTCGAGGAATTCTGCAGGAATGCCTGCAGCTGGAGCGGGACCAGCCCTGCCTGGCCGCGGCGCGCCCAGAGCACATCTCTAACTTTGGGAGCGCTTCGGTGCGGCCTCAGACGGGGTCTTTCCGCTCAGGACCAGAACCCCCAGGCTCCCATGCTGAGCTCTTGGCGCGCTTCTCCGGTCCCCGTCAGTCACCTGCTCAGCGCCGCACGCCTATCTCCTCTTCCCCTCCCCATTTCTTCTACAACACATTCCCCCCACCCGGGGTCATTAGCCCCATTTTCTTGAACATTTAGTTTGCAAGGAATTGTCTTTCTGGCGAGTTTTATTTTTTCTCCTTGTGTGTCTAGCTTTGTCTCTAAATTGGTCTTTATTTTTAGCTGTACTAATTGCTATTTTTCTAAACTGCTCCCCAATCGCCCCCTCATTCTTTTGCAGTATTTTCACTAGTTGGCACTTTCTTTTATATCTTCTATTCTGAGCTTTCTGTTCCGCTGGCTTTCCCTCCGTCTGCCACAGTCCAATTCCACTCTAGCTCCGGTCCTTTGTGGTTGCTTCTTATGTCTCCCCCTTTCCTGCCTCGCCCAGAGTACTCTGGCCCTGCTACCTCAGTGTCTCCCGCCCCCTCAAGGTTTCCGGGGTTTTCAGTTGCAACTCAGACACGGTGGAGTGGTGAATAGAACTAGAACCTAGCTGAGGAGCTGGCTTTCAGAAACCTTTCCTTCTGTTATCCGCGGGCTCCAGGGACAGGCTTCCATCCCTTGAAATAATATTTAAACTCTAATCAGAGCTTCTGCAAAAAGAGGATTTTAAAAGCTGGCAGAGTTCTAAATAGAAATGAAACCACTACTTCTTACAATAGCAGACTTTGTGCAACCCCACCCCCAACACCCCACCCCACCCCACCCCACCCCACCCCCGCCTCCCGGGAAACGTCCGCAGAGGCCAATCACAAATAATGCTACCACCAGAAAGAAGGGGATCTGCACAGCCCGCCAAATGCTATCTCAGTTGTCAGGTCCACGCTGCCCTGTCCTCAACCGTCATGTGGCCTTCAAGGCTTTCATTTCAGTATGCTATGAATACCTCTTAAGCTAAGAATCCCAGGCATTTCCTAAGTAAAGGTGAAAATGTAACAGCTTCAAGTCACTTTCACTGTCTTGTTAGCACATGGAATCCTAAGTACAAAAAGAAAGACCCTTCTCGGAGCATTGCCACAAACACCTGTTTCAAGTGTCTAAAGATCCGAAGCCAGTTTTGCGTAATGTGTAGAAGGCCGAGGATACAAGCATAAAGCCTCGGAGCTCTCCAAGTTCTCTAGCGACGCTTGTACACTGAAGTTGTGCCCATCCTCTGCGTTTGGACTGATGCTGTTTGGCACCCCTCCCCAGGGCCCAGTTCAATCAAGCCTGCGCTAACAAAGAGCCAATTTGGGCAAGAAGACATGTTGCTTAGTCTCATTTGTCCCCCTGCTGGTCTCACCTTTTGTTTTATTTATTTATTTTTTTATTTTCGGGCAAAAAAATAAATAAAAGCTCTGGGACTAAAGCTCCTGCTTAGGCAGGTACAGCGATGGGGTTCGATCCCCGCCATGCCCTGCCGGCCCGCCCCCAGGGCGCGCTGAGACTGGGACTGAGACTGGGCACTGTGGCATGCAGCTGTAATCCCAGCACTTGGGAGGATGAAAACGGGATGGCTAGGAGTCTGATCTATGTAGTGAGACCCTGTAGATCCTGTACTAAATACATTAAAAAATAAATACATAAATAAGGGCCGGCCAGATAGCTCAGCAGACTAAGGCGCCTGCTTCTGCAGCACGCAGCCGCGGGGTTCATCCCCAGTGGGGAGCCTGCCGGTTAGCTCAGTTGTTTAAGTACCTGCGGTGCAGGCTCCTGCCCCGCAGCGCGCTAAACCGGCAATATTGAAAATAGGCGCAGTCAGGGTGTGGGGGATGGCTCAGTAGAATAAGTGCTTGCTTGGCAAGCACAAGGGCCTGAGTTCAATCCCCGGGTCCGCAAAAATAAATAAATAAATAAATTAGAAAGAGAATGGTGCAGTACAGCACTAGCCATCCGTGAAATGCAAATTAAAACAGTGAGATACCATCTCACCCCACAAAGAATGGCTATCATAAAGAAATCAACCAACAACAAATGTTGGAGAGGCTGTGGGGAAAAGCCACAATGTGGAAATCACTGTGGAGACTCCTTAAGAAACTAGGCCTGGAAATCCCATTCAAGCCAGCTATCCCTCTACTGGGAATTTTCCCAGAGGAACTGAAAACGTCATATCATAGTGATATATGTGTACCTATGTTTATAGCAGCACAATTTGTGATAGCCAAATCTTGGAAACAACCAAGATGCCCATCACCTGAGGAATGGTTGAAAAAGATGTGGTATTTTTATACAATGGAGTATTACTCAGCTCTAGAGAATGATAAACTTGAAGCATTTATGTTTAAGTGGATGCCACGTGAAGATATATGCATAAGTGAAATAAACCAGCCCCACATGTGCAAATATCATATAGTCTCCCTAGTATAAGAACTCAAAAGAAGAAATACAAATAGAAAGGTATAACACAATTAAAAGGAAAGCAAGAATTTGAGGATTGGACAGCGAGGAGAGGGCAAGGAGAAAAGCTGGGAAACATGACAGGGGCAAAGCCATACATTTATACACACAAGATGGGCAAGGCAATGATCCTGAGAAACATCAGCAGGTTTTTGAAACTAACAGTTAATTGGTAGGATTCTGACAGGACTAAACAAAAAAATGGGATACAAAGGAAGGACCATTTTGTATCTGTATGTGCAGAATAGTTAGGATAGATATACAGTTACTTTCACTTAATTCAATGAGAAGAAAGATTTGCACTAATAGTGTTTGGACAGGATATCTGGTCTGCACCTTGTACTATGGATAACCACTAAGAAGATAACAATGTACAATGTATTAATTATTGAAACTGTCTTTTTTGCTACTTGTTTCTCAATAAAATAAAATAAAAAATTAAAAAAAGGAGAGAGAGAGAGAGAGAGAGAGAGAGAGAGAGAGAGAGAGAGAGAGAGAATGGGCGCAGTGGTATGCACCTGTAATCCCAGCACTTGGGAGGCTGAAAACAAGAGAATCACTATGAGTCTGAGTCCAATCTACGTAGTGAGACCCTGTAGACCTTGTAGTAAATACATTAAAAAATAAAAATAATAAATAAATAAAAACTCTGGAAATTTTCCAGTAAAACAGAGATTCAGAGAGATTGTTTATCCTAGAGGTTAACATGTTTTATTCTGCTCAGAAACTTTACATAATTGGTAATAAGTTGGTAAGGCTATATTTTAGCATCTCTTTTATGACCAGGTTATATACAATGACTATTTGGAGGCAGACCAAGAAAAGAAAATAAACAAATCCTAAGTGCCTGAAGAGACCTAGGCACCAGACCTGCCAGGCAGGGGATCAGCAATTACAACCTCATGGGCTAGAACAAGGAAAGGATGACACCTACGTTCCAAGGGCATGGCGTGCAACAGCAATAAGCAAAAATGTATCTGGCATGCTGCCCAGCGCCTGGACACGCACAAAAAACATTACTAGAATCTGCATTACTCTTACTCCCCCATAAGGATGTTCTGATACATAATAGACTTTAACCTACACATACCCAAAGTGAGAATATATATATAAATTACAGAAAGTCAGGCCAGCCAAACAGCTCAGCAGACTAAAGCACCTGCTTAGGCAGAGCGCAGCAGCCAGGGTTCTATCCCTGGAGTGCCATACCGGCCCCGCCCCCAGAGCATGCTGAGACGAGATTGAGACTGGGCGCGTGGTGGCACGCACTTGTAATCTCAGTGCTTGGGAGACTGAAAACAGGAGAATCACTATGAATCCGACCTATAGTAGTGAGACCCTGTAGACCCTGTACTAAATACATTTTTAAAAAAGAAGAAATTATAGGAAGTCAGCAGGGCAGCAGCAGTGTGATGGCCAGAGTGAAAAAAAGGAAGTGAACTGTTATAAGCTGTCAAACTTGGCAATCTAAAGAGACTGCAAAATATTTATGCCCATTCACCTACTGAATAATTCTACAATTGGTGATTTGTGCCAAGGAAAAAATAAGCAATGCAAAGGTTTATATGTAACACAGTGCTGTATTTTTTTTTATCTGTGATATATATACTATCTAAAAACACCCCTTAAGAGTTATATTTCTAAGATGAAATATTTGGTAGTACAGAGACCATGCGAAAACTACTTAGTGAGTATGCTTACAGCAACACTTTTAGAAGCTTTCAAATCAGGAAATGCAATAAAGGATTTTTTCCAGTGAAAG